GTGGTGTTGGTGGTAGTAGTGGTGGTGGTGGTGGTGGTAGTGGTGGTGGTGGTAGTGGTGGGGGTAGTAGTGGTGGTGGTGGTGGTGGTAGTGGTGGTAGTGGTGGTAGTGGTGGTGGTGGTAGTAGTGGTGGTGGTGGTGGTAGTAGTGGTAGTAGTGGTACCTTTAAAACAACCACAGCTGTGACAAAGTGCTGTGCACATTTTGTAGTAAAGATAAATTACAAAATAAAAGTTGAAAGAGTGGTTTGAGTAAATTATTCACATGTAACAAAATTACAAATAATGTCCTTGTGTTCAGTAATGTATCTTAGTTTGTTTTTGTGAGAATGCATTTTGTCTGTATTAAGAAGTAATTAGGACATTTATTTATTTATTCTAATCATCAATAAACTTGAAATGCAAGTGTTTGTAAAATAAAACTTTTTTGAAGACCACAGTATATTGCGGTCTGTACTGATATATTTTAATAACATTTTAGAGCACCGCGTAGAACAATAACTTTTAGTCATTTTTTTAATTTGTAAATGAAGCTAAACAGTTTAATATTGTATCAAAATGACCATTTAATATGAAATTAAATAACGTGCTTCAGGGAACCTCCCAGAAATTTCTTGGAACATTACAAAATTCATGGGGTCAAGTGTATCGTCCTCACAACAAGTTTGCTTGTTTGTCAATTGGGTTTCAGTTTCTCAACAGTCTTTCCACAGCTCACTCTCTAATCTCACCATGTGTAGCAAGGTGCTTTAAAGCAGCCAGATGATGTGCAAAAGTGTCCAAACGTGAAGGAAGAGCAAACAGAAGCCAGTATCAGTTGCGTGCATGCAAAACACACAGAAACACCATGCCCTCCTGCCTTCTGCAGGGATTTGAACCAGCAACTGCTGCTGTTTACATTCCTCAGTCTGTGTCTGTTGCTCGCAGACATTTAGTCATGCCCACACGGGAATGCCTTCAGTTCTTGTGTGTGTGTGTGTGTGTGTGTGTGTGTGTGTGTGTGTGTGTGTGT